CGGGGTCCAGCGGGAGTCTCGGCAGCGGCGGCGAGCTGCACCCGCGTACCGGGCGCCTGGTGAGCTTGTCGGCCTGTGGGCGGACGGCGCGGCGACAGCAGCCGGGCCAAGAGTTTAACCACGGGCTGGTGTTGAGCCGCGAACCTTTGCGCGATGGACGCGTCTTCACCGTCCGCATCGACCGCAAGGTGCAGAGCTGCGACCGCGAAACCGAGATGTGAAGGGTGGTGGGAGGGGACCAGAGGGAGATGAGGGAGGACCGCCAGAACACCCACAGCACCGGGCATCGAGAGGGAACCGACAGATCATAGGGCACCGGGAGACGAGGAGGAGGAAGAGCACACGAAGCCAGACACAGTCAATCTTAAGGAAAAGAGACAAGGAAAGGTTGAATTTTCTCAAGACCCAGAAGCTGGAAGGGACACGGAGGCCCACACACTCGAATGACGGGGGATCAGACCTTCTGGCAGTGTTGGAGGGATGGAGCAGAGATCTTACAGAGTTGTGATGGGAAGAGGAGAGACATAACCGAGGGAAGAACAAAACCACTGAAGGGCAGACTCTCAGATAGGGCCAGGAAAATGGGTGAGGAGACATAATCGGGGAGAGAGGGAGGTGTGATTTACTTGACCCCAGAGAAAGAATTCAGGAGAAGAGTGGATCTGGGTGAGAATTAGAGTAAGAGAGGGATGTACAAAAGCAAGAGGTATGGGCATTTGGATTTGGGTATTTGAAGAGCCATAGAAACAGGCAAAATAAGAGGAGGCGAGAGGGTTGAATTTAATCTGATTGGTGGAAGGGGAAAGTAGTGTGAACTTTTGAGTACCTGAGTAAGAGTCAAGAGTTGCTAGGAGAGAGCAGTTCAAAAACTATTATTCCCTCAATCATTGTTGAGGAAATTACCTGTGGGCCTGCATTTTTGGGTTAGTGCCTAAGAGGTGTGCCAGGGTGCCTGGTGGATGTGGTTTCCTAGTAGTGGGAGACTCACTGATTGCCTATCCTGAATCAGTCTACAACTCTTGTCTTAGGTTAACTCCTGGAGTGGCTCCATTGAGATTGGGGTGACAGCTCTGGATCCCAGTGTGCTGGACTTCCCAAGCAGTGCCACAGGACTGAAGGGGGGCTCATGGGTAGTGTCGGGCTGCTCGGTGCTGAAGGATGGGCGTTCTGTGCTAGAAGAGTATGGCCAGGACCTGGATCAGCTTGGCGAAGGGGACCGTGTGGGTGTGGAGCGCACAGTTGCTGGGGAGCTCCGGCTCTGGGTGAATGGGCGGGATTGTGGTGTGGCTGCCACAGGCCTCCCTGCCCGTGTCTGGGCTGTTGTGGACCTTTATGGCAAGTGCACCCAGATCACCGTGCTTCCCCCTGAGCCAGGCTTCAGCCCCCCTACTCCCATCCCTACACCTCCCCTAGAGCCCTCAGCCCCCCCTGAGGATTCTGCCTTGGCTCAACAGGGGACCTCTGGAGATGAAGGTAAGAAAGCAGCTAGGGTGGTATTGGATGAGTGGGGCAGAGGGCAAATGCAGGGACAAGCTAGCCTGGGTGTGGGCAGGGCCATTGAGACTCCACAGTCTTGTTGGAGAGAGCAGGATCTAGAGAGGGTCTCCTGGCTGTGGGCTCTGAACCCTTATTCCCATCCCACCTGGTCCCCAGCCTTCATGGTGTCCCCAGCGCAGGCCCGGCCGGAGTCGTTTCCTAACAACCTTGAGTCGCATAATGGTGAGGGCTTCGGGGAAGCCCAGGGAAGGGGAATGGGCCGTGAGGTGGATAAGGGAGGGACCTTAAGAAAGGGTTAGGGCAAGAGTGCTCCAAGCCAGAGGGTGTAGGGATTTACCTCAGATTTCTTTCTTCATCCTGCTGCTGTAGACTTTGCCAGCATGGAGCTCTCTGAAGTGGTGAGCAATGCCATCCTATCTGCCTACAATGGGGGGCTCCTGAATGTGAACCTGAGCTCTCCTCCAGCAAGGGATGGACTGGGATCTAGCGGTGCTGCTACCTCACCCATCCTCACCTCCAACGATGCCCTACTCTTTCATGAGAAGTGTGGCACCCTCATCAAACTCAGTAACAATAATAAGACCGCTGAGCGCCGGAGGCCCCTGGATGAATTCAACAATGGGGTTGTCATGACCAACCGCCCACTTCGGGACAATGAAATGTTTGAGGTGTGCAAGATCCTGAAATCTGACAGGGCTTCCTGCTCTGGCAGTTAAAAGTGGGGCTTAATCATTGCTGCCTAGAGGGTAGGAACTGGGGGAGAACCAGGGGCTGAGAATCCCTCCTCTACATTCCTTGCCCTTTCCATCTGCTGTCATTCAACCCCAGATCCGTATCGACAAGCTTGTGGATAAATGGTCAGGCTCCATTGAAATTGGTGTCACCACTCATAACCCCAACAGCTTGGAATATCCAGCCACCATGACCAACCTCCAATCAGGTATAAGCCCAGGGCAAGGGTAGGGATACAGGCTTGGGGTTGCTGAGAAGGCAGCCTGTAGCTTAACCAAGTATCTTTCTTTACCCAGGCACCATCATGATGAGTGGCTGTGGGATTCTGACCAATGGCAAAGGCACTCGCCGGGAGTACTGTGAATTCAGTCTGGATGAGCTACAGGTAAGGGTGGGGCACAGCCATTCCAGGGAGCCCTGGGTACGCTCTGTTCTGTGTGGGCATCATACAGTGTTCTTCTCTGTTATCTAGATGAAGTCCCTTGGTGTTCCTTTTGAGAAGTCAGAGTAGCTCAACAGACTAAATCCTATATGCTAGGCATGATGGCATATGCCTGTAGTCACAGCTATCTGAAGCAGGTAGAAGCAGAAAGATTTTGAGTTAGAGGTCAACCTAAGCAAAGTTATCTGTGAGTCCATCTTTAAAAGCTGTTGGTTGGGCTGGGAAGGTGGCTCAGTGGTAGAGCTCTTGCCTTGCATGCATGAGGCTCTGGGTTCGATTCCTCAGCACCACATATGCAAAAAGGAAAAAGCCGGAAGTGGCACTGTGGCTCAAGTGGTAGAGTGCTAGCAACTGTTGGAGCTGGGCGCGGTAGCTCACGTCTGTAATCCTAGTTACCCAGGCAGAGATCTCAGGATTGCAGTTCAAAGCCAGCCCGGGCAGGAAAGCCCTTGAGACTCTTTATCTCCAATTAACCACCAGAAAACTGGAAGTGGTGCTGTGACTCAAGTGGTAGAGCGCTAGCCTTGAGCTGAGAGCTGAGGGACAGTGCCCAGGCCCAGAGTTCAAGACCCACAACCAACAAAAGAAGAAGCTCATGGACAGTGCTCAGGCCCTGAGTTCAAACCCCAGGGTTGATACAAAACAACAAAAAACATGGGCTGGGAAGGTGGCTCAGTGGTAGAGCGCTTGCCTTGAATGCCTGAAGCCCTGGGTTCGATTCCTCAGCACCACATAAGCAAAAAGAAAAAAGCCGGAAGTGGCTCTGTGGCTCAAGTGGTAGAGCACTAGCCTTGAGCTGAAGAGCTGAGGGACAGCGCCCAGGCCCAGAGTTCAGGCTCCAGGACCGGACCCAAAACAAACAAACAAACAAAAAAAAACCCTGTTGGTTACTGGTGGCTCATACTTTTAATACTAGCTACTTGGGAGACTAGGAATAGAAGGATTAAAAATGATGCCAGCAAGGCAGAAAAATTCAGCAGCTCTTTTCTTTTTTTGGTCAGTCAGTGGGGCTTGAACTGGGGCTCTGGGCACTGTCCCTGAACGCTCTTTTTTGCGGAAGGCTTGCAGTGTACTACTTTGAGCCACAGTGCCACTTCCAGTTTTCTGGTAGTTAATTGGAGATAAAAGTCTCATGGATTTTTCTGCCTAGTCTGGCTTTGAACCACAATCCTCAGATCTTAGGCTCCTGAGTAGCTAGGATTATAGGTGTGAGCCATCAGCACCTGGCTTTTGAGATCCCTTTCTTAACCCATAGTTGTGTGTATTGGCATGTGCCTGCCATCCCAAGCTATGTGGGAGGCTGAGATTTGAGTTTGGAAAGATTGCAGTGATCAGAACAGTGGAGGAGACTTTTCTTGTCCACAGAAGGAAGCTGGATACAGTGATGTGCACCAGTAATGATGGGAAGTCTAAAGTAGTCAGATCAAAGGTCATATACACTCTCAGATAGGAGACAAGACCCTGTCTCAAATATAACCAGTAGAAAAACAACCAGAAGCATGGTTCAGTGGTAGACTGTCAGCCTAGCAAGCATAAAGCCCTGAGTTCAAACCCTAGTACCACTTTTAAATAACTTAGAAACAAAAGGGCTGGGGGGACATAGCTTAAGTGGTAGAGCACTTGCCTACCCTGTGCAAGGTCCTGGATTCAATACCTAATGCTACCAAAAAAAGTGCCTTTTTTTGTTGGTGATGGTAGTGGTAGTCATGGGGCTTGAACTTGGCCTAGTCGCTCTCCCTGAGCTCTTTTGCTCAAAGCTAGTATTCTACAACTTTGATCCACAGCACCACTTTTTTTTTTTT